AGCCCCCGAGCCCCTCCCTCCCCGTCTCCGCCTCGTCTGCAGCGCTGGCGGGTTTCTGCCGGTGCCAGGCGATGACCATTAGTTATATTTATCCGCGCCGGGCCATCTCAGCCCCGCTGTTCTCCATCATGTTACATCCATTATCCCACACAGGCTGCATGCGTCCGGCAGGGGATACACCAGGCTTGCCTGGCTCACCCCGAGAGGACAGATTTTATGGCAACAATAGTGCACACGGAGCCAGACGATGGGCCCTGGCACCGGAGCAGTGCCCCTGCCGTTCTATGGTTAGCCCCGTGCTGATGGACCAGCTTCTGGGGAACCCACGGCTTTCCAGCTGTGCCCCCGAGACCAACAGCCCGGGTCCCCGCTCCTCTCCTGAGCGTCCGCCATGTGGTGTATGGAGGATCCCTGCACACAGCCTTGCCAGCAGCCACAGAATGCAAACCCTTCTCCCCCAGCCTCCCGCGGCCCTTTCTCCGCCCCAGCCTCTCACTCTCATGCTGTATTTCTCATCCTGTTCAAAGAAACCCCCACTTCCTGGTGTTTATTGGGGAAGCAGCAGCCCTGATGCTGTTTACTTACATTTCCCCGCTCTCCTCTGTCTTCCTCGCTAGCTCAGAGTAAGGAAGTGAGTGCGTGACTTTGTAGGAAAGACACACCTGTGCGGGGGCCCGGAGCGTGAGGATGGGTGTGAGTGTGCTGGGAACCCCGCGCCACCCGGGAGAAGCCACGCGTGGCATCCATTAGCGTCTAGTGCCTGCCAATGCAGCCAATGAGACACGCGGACTAAAGGAAATCACTACTTCATCCCACAAACATTTGTGTCGGTCCAGGAACGGCTCTGAGTTGAAACTTTGCTCAGAGTCAGTCTCCTCGCTCCGCTCCCCCTCTGCTCCAGGGCCCATACCATGCGGCACAGCGCCACCTGCCGGCCGCCCCGGCCGCCCCAACAGTCCTCGCAGCCAGGGTGTGGCCCCGAAATCCACCAGCCCTGGTGCCTGACCTCTGTCCCCAGGGCTCCCTGTGGTGGGCAGTTCTGACGGAGCTAAAGGGAAAGAGAGGGAGACCGTCCCGGGGAGAAGCAGCAGCGCAGCCAAACCGTTTCCAAAGGCCGGGTGAGCAGGGCAGGGAGGGAGAGGGCACCTCTGCTCCGTCCCGGACGCCTGCCCAGGCAGGGTTTTCAGCATGAAGGGCGGGAGCGAATGGGCATGGAGAGCCTTGTGTTTCCCTCCTGCCTTTCTGTCTGTGCAGCGCTGTCTCCCAACCACGGTGTTCACCCCTCCCCGTGGCTTCCTTACAGGCCAGGAGGGAGTCAGGGAAGCCGCTGGGTGTCCAGGGTAATTCCTCTCCTGGCTGCCCGGCTGTGAGTCTCTGTGTGTGTCAGCATGAAGGGCGGGAGCGAATGGGCATGGAGAGCCTTGTGTTTCCCTCCTGCCTTTCTGTCTGTGCAGCGCTGTCTCCCAACCACGGTGTTCACCCCTCCCCGTGGCTTCCTTACGGGCCAGGAGGGAGTCAGGGAAGCCGCTGGGTGTCCAGGGTAATTCCTCTCCTGGCTGCCCGGCTGTGAGTCTGTGTGTGTGTTGAGTGTGTGGATTTGTGTGTGTGAATGTGTGTGTAAGTGTGTGAATGTGTGTGTGAATGTATGAGTGTGTGGATGTGTGTGTGTGAATGTGTGTGTGAGTGTGTGGATGTGTGTGTGTGAATGTGTGTGTGAGTGTGTGGATGTGTGGATGTGTGTGAATGTGTGTGGATGTGTGTGTGTGAATGTGTGTGTGTGTGAGTGTGTGGATGTGTGTGTGTGTGGATGTGTGTGTGAATGCATGTGTGTAGATGTGTGTGTGTGAGTGTGTAGATGTGTGTGTGTGAATGTGTGTGTAAGTGTGTGGATGTGTGAGTGTGTGTGTGTGTGAGTGTGTGGATGTGAATGTGTGAGTGTGTGGGGGGCGGTGCTTTGAGAGACACTGGGGCTCTGTCTGCCCATCGCTTACAGGAACCAGTGGGGGAGCGGCCCCCCTGGAGGGCAGGATGGAGGGCTGTGGAAATGCAATCAGCACCCCTCGGCCTCCAATGGGACCCCAGGCTGCAGGCAGCTCGTCTTTGAAAAATAGCAAAAGCCCAAACTAAATGGACCAAAGAGGGGCTCATCGCCCTTAGGGAGGCGCTCGCTGCAACACTGGCGCGCACTGTCTGCAGTGACCGCGAAGGCTGGGCGGACACTATCTACCCCTCCAGGCATGGGCCTCAGCTACCTGTGGCTTCCATCTCACACCTGGGCGCTGCCCCAACCCACCCTGTCCCAGACACGCGGGCGCAGTGGGGGCCTCTGCACGCCACCCGGGAAGCCCAGGACCCTTGCTGGCTCCCACTGCATCGTGGTCTGCCGGGAGCCTCGGTCCTCGAGCCTGATGGCAGGAGCGGTGACCACGGGGATGGCCGCTGTGCACAGAGAGGACCAGAGAGGGGCTTCCCTCACGGCTCTCCCTGGGCGTCCGGGCCACGCTGCCTGCAAGTCAGGCGTGTGGGGTGGAGAGCGACCGGGGCCCAGGAGGTCTGGGCTCAGCGTGGCCCCAGAGGTCCTGGGACCCAGGGAAGCTGCTGTTTCTCAGAGCCGCCTCTCACCCCGAGGAGCGTTCTCTAACAGGGTTTCTCTAGACGCAGTGAGCTGTCCTTCTGCAGACAGAAAATGTGCTGGTGTTTTAGAGGGTCTCTCTCTCTCTCTCTCTCTCTCTCTCTCCTGAGCATACACACTCTTTTGCAGCAACAAAATCAGATTCATTCATTATGGAGTTCAAATTCCATGTCTAAAGGGTTTTTAGAGCCTAGAGTTGCCAGATAAAATACAGGAATCCTAGCTGAATTTGGATTTCAGAAAGACAGTGCATTTTTTCGTCTGCGGATGTGTGAAACATTGCATGGGACGTACGGAAAGACATGCATTGTTCATCTGAGACTCACGTTTAACTAGATGCCAGCTTTTGTCTGTGTTCTCACCGAATCTGGCCACCTACTGGCGACTCCCCTGAGCCGATCTCTAGGCAGGAAACTAAGATCAACAGAGGCAAAGGGACAGTGTCAGAGACAGACCAGAACCAGGTCTAGAAACTCAGTTTGGGTCCCTTAACCAACCAGGCTGCCTGGCCTTCCCCGAGAGAGCCGAGTGGGGCCAGAGGTACGAAGCCATGAAGCCAGTTCCTGCCAGACCCATCTCCGCGACCGCGCGTGCTCAGGCTGCACCAGGGTGCACAATGCCCCTCGCGTGGAAACGCCGCGAGTTCATCATTTGCAAAGTTTCCTGCCCAGGTGAATCTTTACATAGCAACCCTCTCCTTGGTGGAGAGCCGGCCTTTTTCTCTTTCTTTCTACAACTATGGTTCATAGGAGTTGGTTCTACCAAGTGACCTCAAACACAAAAGTCCCCACGCACAGACAGGCAGACAGGATGTCAACTGCTCCTGTCTCTATATTAAAGCGCACGTCCGAAAGCCTTCAGTCGACAGGTACTGTCTATCTGGACGGAAACACTAAGCAGGTAATCTTAAAATATTCTCGTATTTCCCATAGACTTACATTAGTGATGCATTTTTAAAAAAAATATATGTATATATGTTTAAATATATTTTTATTTATCTCAGAGATGAAGGGAGAGAGAGAGATCAATGATGAGAGAGAATCATGGATCGGCTGCCTCCTGCACGCCCCACACTGGGGATGGAGCCTGCAACCCAGGCCTGTGCCCTGACCGGGAATCAAACCGTGACCTCCTGGTTCATAGGTCGATGAGCCACCACTGAGCCACGCTGGCCGGGCTAGTGATGCGTCTTGAGACCGTTCCCCATTCACAGCAAGAGAGTTACTCTGTGTCACGGAAACCCTCAGGGCAGCCAGGGGGGCGGGGCTGGGAAGAGGTGGCTCAGCCACACCCCTCATGGCATGTGAGCCTCGCTTTCCTTGTTTTTAATCCGAGGGCTTGAGTCCTCCTACTCCCTCAGCCCCATTTTGGTTCTACAACTCTAGGCTTCTCACCACCCGTGAGCATGTACCCTGTCCACAGTGTCTGTGCTTTAGGCTCCCACTGGAAGCAGCAGCAGGATTGCACCTGCCTCCTGTCTGCACCCTGGGGGCCAGTGCAGTGCTGGAGCCGGCTGTGCCCCCCCCCCCCAAGCAGGCTGGCCACCAGCGCCAGCGCCATCACTAGTGCCGAAGCTCACACGGGGACGGGGAGCAGAAGGTGCCCGGGAAACTCGGCTTCAGCTGCGGGCCGGAAAGGAAACACTGTAACTCGTTGCAAGTGGCCAAGGGGGCTCCGGGTGTGACAGGGACTGTGTCCACGCCAGGCCCCTCCCAGACGCCCGTCCTGAGAGCAGCATCGGTTCCCGAGGGCTCTCGTTGGGCCACAGAAGCAACAAGGAACAGTCCAAAGGCTCCGGACCTTTCTCCATGAGGTCCAAGGCCCCAGGCGAGCAGCGCAGCTCAGAGAGCATCTCCCGTGCTCACCACGCGTGGCCAGAAAGCCCGGAACAAGTGACAGCAAGAGAAAAAGAATGATAGAATGATCTGGCAAAACATGCCAAAATCCTGCCTGTCGGGGCAATCGCTCATTTCAGGCCTGGAGTTCGCATTTCTCTCACGGACGTAAAGGAAGAGCGGGCAGGGCCAGCGGAGAGAAGAGTGCGTTTCTTCCTTTCCCTCCCTCCTCCATTCCTTCCTTCCTCCCTTCCTTCTTCCATCTCTGGACATTTTTTAAATCTTAGAGTTGCTCCTGCAGGGAGGTCATTGGGCACAAGGTGAGTGTGGGCCTGGAGCCGGGCTGCTGGGGCCCAGGCTGCCTGAAACCTGTGGCCTGGAGTCTTCCCTCTCCGCAGCATCTGCCTTTACCCCAGCAGCCCGCCCTCCTTCACAGCAAGGGCAGGGCTGTGACTCCCCGAGATGGGTGGGTGAGTTCTCTTTAAAAGTACCTTGTTCATTTCTTGACTGGGGCCGATTCAAGGGCCTTGCTCTGAAATGCTATGGGGATTATTTCCATGGAAACACGTTCCTGTCGCTCTCGTCATCTTTGGAACACCCCCCCCCCCACCCACCCGCCCCAGGTCCATGCTACCGGTTGCAAACCCCTTTGTGAGGGTGGAGAACGTGCTCCCTGGACTCCATTAGCTACGTCTCGTCCTAACCAAGAACCCAGGAGTGACCTGCTGGGGAAGACAGAGTCGCTGTTTAATAAGGAAGAAGCCAGTGCCACCTCGAGAAGAAGGGAGCGACTTCCACACCTTCCACCCGCTCAGGACTAAGTCTTCTAAAGATGAGGAAACACCCACTAACACCTGTGAGGGCTAACTATGTGCCAAGCACTTTGCATCCAACCTTCATTGCGAGGCACGGTTATCCCTATTGTCTGGATGAGTAAACTGAGGCTGAGAGAGATTGAGTAACTTGTTTAACATCACTGTTATTCACTAGTAGAGACGGGACTACAAACTAAGTTTCATGGACTCAGAGTCCCTGTTTGCAAGGACTTCCGATGAAAACGCATAACTCTGTGACCACCTGCTACCGGCCAGGCTGCTGTGCGCACCTCATGCATGTTATCTCACTAAGCCCCGCAGCAAGCTTGGTGGGGGGAACTACTACTTACCCCCCTTTTTGATAAGGAATGGGAAGCATGCAGATTAAGTGAAGGGTTGGCAACTTTAGCCATTGATTCTGTCTAGCTACCTATCTATCTATCTGCTATCTATATCCTCTATCTATCTATCTGCTATCTATATCATCTATCTATCTATCTATCTATCTATCTACTATCTATCTCCCTTGTGGATCACTGGAGGCTGTTGGCATCCCTTCTAATTACATTTACATTAAAGCCTCAAGTAAACTGCAAAAGACAAAATAAATTAGAAAAAACAACAAACCAATAGCAAAACCTAACCCTCTCTCTCTCTCTTCCTCTCTCTCACTTTCTCTTTCTCTCTCCTCTCTCTCTCTCTTACACACACACACACACACATACACACACTTTCCCTCTTAGATCTGAAAACCTAATTATCTAATTTCTGGAACTTTCCATTGATTCCTTAGCTCAGCCCGGCCCTGCAGCTGAGGTGGGAGATACTGGGGACTCGCGGTGCCATGCGGTGGGGTCTGGGCTCCCAGCCCCAGGGAACTGAACCAGGCCCGGCCAGCGCCCTGCTGCGCGGTGAGTGTGACCCTTGCGGATCTGATTAATGTAAACACGGCGATGGCCCACCTGTGGGGGTAATTAGGGTGATGGGAACCCAATCAGCAGGGACAGGCAGGGCATGGCTGACCCCCCACGGATGTTCTAAGTCAGCACATGGACGCCTGTGAAATCACCAAGCCAGTAGCCCAGGGGTTTGAAACAATTTTTTAAAGGAAAGAAGTCGACTCACGTTACAGCTATTTGTCTGTTCACCCCCTTGTCCCCCTCTTTCTGACTCCAGGTGAAATTCCCCGGCGCCCGTGGGAGCCTCCGCGGACGGGGGCAGGGGGGCGGGCACCAGCCTTGCGAGGAGGGGAAAGGCTCCCATCCCAGATTCAGAGCGGCCAGTGGTTTCTCTCCCCGAGGCTGCCATCCACACGGGGGGTCCCGGGAGTGGCCACCCAGCGCCTTTCCCTTGTGTTTGTTTATTTAAATATATTTTTTATTGATTTCAGAGAGGAAGGGAGAGGGAGAGAGAGATAGAAACATCCCTGATGAGAGAGAATCATGGATCAGCTGCCTCCTGCACACCCCCGCCTGGGGATGGAGCCCGCAACCCGGGCATGTGCCCTTGACCAGAATCAATCCCCGAACCCTTCAGTCTGCAGGCCGACGCTCTATCCATTGAGTCACACCAGCCAGGGCCAACGACCATTCCCTTTACAAAAGCGGGTGGGAGGGGGCTGCCTTCTTGTCGGACTTTGTCATTTTTTTACTGGCACCACCTTCAGGTCCAGCTATTCCCCACTTCCCTGGGCCCCCCGCGTCCCCAGCGCGGTAACCTGGTTCACAGACATGACACAGGTTTCAAGCCCCCCGACCCCCCTTTCCTCCTGAGGCGCGGCTCTGCCCCAGAGCCGAGGATCACAGGCTAATTCAGTAAAACGCAACCGAGATGCCGGCTCCCGGGGTGCGTGGGGCTCGGGGCCGCGCGCGCTAAGCCCTCGCCCAAAGTTGGCCCCGGCTGTTATTTTCAAAGGCAATCGCACGATGAATATCAAAGAATTTACAGAATCCACATTGGGAAACCTGTCAGAAAATTGTTGGGAAAATACAGTGAATCAATAAGAACGTCAAGAGACCCAAATGGGAAAAAAAATATAATTGAATATTCATTTTCTGTTTCACGGGGCAGGATTTACCGGGGCCCGGGCAGCGGGGGATTTTCGGCTCTCCCTGGGATGGCTCAAATCATTTTTGTGCCGAGCACTGGATTAGTGTTCAATTAACTCCTTTAAAATTATAATGTGCAACCTCCACACACTTGTTAACGAGTCCACAGCACAATGAGAGCGGGGAGCAGCCACCAGGTACAACAAACGGAGGCTGTGTTTCCACGAACAGAGAATGTCCACAACAAAGTCAGCCACTGGTTCCTACTGGCCTGGCTATTCCTCTCGCAGAACCAGTGATACCTGTCAACATCAGAGAAACATCATGCAGGGGGTCCCTTTCTCCCATATTTTTATCAAAAATATCTGACGTAAGCCTGGCCAGTGTGGCTCAGTGGTTGAACGTCAACCCATGAACCAAGAGGCCATGTGTTTGATTCCCGGTCAGGGCACATGCCCAGGTTACGGGCTCGATCCCCAGTAGGGGGCGTGCAGGAGGCAGACGATCCATCATTCTCATCATTGATGTTTCTATCTCTCTCCCTCTCCCTTCCTCTTTGAAATCAATAGAAATATATTTTAAAAACTCTCTGAGGTAGAATCCATGGAGGAAATCTCTTCTTTCTTCTGTGGTCGCATTCCAGGAAGCCTGATATGCTAACCCAGCCAGCTCTCCGCGAGAACGCCTCACCGGGTCCGCTCAGTTTGTTCCTTGGGTTGGGAATGCATCGCTGTGGTTGCCAGATGTCTACATACAATTCCTTCCTGTGCTCTCTCATCGGGTGCTTCAGGGTGGATGGAAACAACAGGGGACCGTCTCAAGGAAACACTGCATCAGGCATCAGGATTAGACCGACACAGTCATTTGAAGACGTCACACACAGACACCCCTGACCCAGAGCAACAGCGGGGACAGAAACCCCCATTGCAGGGCCGGGAATGACAGGGGAGAACCAAGAACCATCTGTCCTCATGTTCGTATGTAAAAAGTCACATAAAAACGTACGGGCTTTTATTATGGTCGGACCGAGACTGCACATTTCTGTACATTTCTGAAACCAAATGAATAAAATTCGTTTTAAGAGCCGTTAGCATTTGATTGGATCCTAAATGAAAGAGACCAGTTACTCTGGCGGAAGGATTTTGCGACTTAAGTTGATCTATCTAAAATAACGATGAAACATGGATTTTAAAAGGGAAAGTTGTCATCTCAATAGTTTTTACCCCCAATAACATTCTACCCAATACGACTAATAGATTTTGACTGTCGGTCATAGAGATAGCACACATACCATCTCTATCTATGTCTTAGAGGGATTCCCCTGGGCTTTCCCAACTCAAAGCCACCCTCCGCACTCTGCCCGGCGATGAAAGCATCGTGTGCGAATTTAAATCCATGAACCACTTTTGATAGTTTGTGGGAGAAGTGCTGTGTCCCTTTTCCAGGATGCAGTAACATTTTCTCACCATTCTTAAGTAACAACAGAAATAATAAAATCTAAAAAAAAAAAAAGGTGCAATTTAATTTGGGTTTCTCTTAGAACTATTTTTTCTCTAGCCTTAGAAGATTAGTTTTCAAAGCAATGGTAAAATCATTGATGTGTGTCTTTTCAAGTGAAAAGAAGGAAAAAGAAAAAATGACTCCTAAATACCAAACATTTGCTCTTCGGAGCATGGCAAGCAGGAAGGGTGAGGGCCAGGGGGCCACGTCCCAGGAGGAAAGTACCGCCCAGGTAGCTGTCGGCGAACGCGGAATCTCTTTCCAGAGCTTCTTAGTAGTTAAAGTTTTCTTCCCTAAATAAAACTTCATTTTCCTTCACTGATTTCTCTAGTGGGCAGCGGCCAGTTCTTCTGCATGACTTGCTGCATGAAGACGTGGGAAAAAGGAGGAATTTCAGACGGGTGCGCGTCTGTGTCAACAGTGTCTGCCATGACGAAGGTCTTTCTTTTGTGTGTTTAAAGAAACATCCAAGGTGTGTGATTTTGAAAAACAAAACCCCAAAACCCCAACACTGCTTTCCCCCCAGGAATGCAGAAAGAGGACTTAATTACACTAATAATTACATTCTCCCCAAGTTAGACTATACATGAATCAGAATTAAATTTTCATAAAAGCATCCTAAAGATGATGAGAAAGAATAAATGCATACGAAGAATAAAAAAAAAAATGTCTGGAAAAGAAGAGTAGGAAGGGAACTGTCCCCTACCAGCCATGAGAATCTCGTATGAAGGTATCCTATCAGTCTGGGGCTGGTGTCGCTTCAATCAGAATAAGATCCAGGAACCATCTCGAGTGAATATCAGAATTTAGCGAATGATGTCAGTGAGGTTTAAGTCAGAAAAAGATGTGATATGTTATTCAATGCGTCGGTATCGTGGCAACTGCCTGCTCATTTGGGGGAACAGAGGGGAGGTGGTCCCTGACAATAAAAAGATTTGGTCCCCACACGCTGTGGGTCCTCGCCTCCTCGCTCAGTTCATCTACTGCCCAGTTGTGTCATTCACCTGCATCGTCCCCTGTCCTTCGGAAGGTTGATGACGGTGCTCTTAGTGCCGTAAGAGTCTGAACCCATCACCTGAGAAACACCATTGCGTTTAAGGTAGGAATGTAGTTGCAGAACAAGGTGAAAGCCATTCACAAGAAAATCAAATGACTCCCAGCCCCCGTTGGCCCAACAACCACACATCTGCATGGCCCCTTTCCCGTAAGATAATGACTGTCTGCTTGAAGTGCTGGATGGATGCCAGGAGACCCATCCCTCTCACGGCATTGCCAACGTCTGCGTGGCGGTGCCCATGCGCATTCCTCAGGGATGGCTGACTTTAGGAAACTTTCAAGCGAGTCTACGACCTCAAACACCTAAGACTCACCGGGCTGGAAGCTTAAAATCCAAGTCAGACATGCTGACATCCAGAAAGACACAATGGCCTGGCCGGTTTGGGACAGTGGATAGAGCGTCGGCCCGTGGACTGAAGGGTCCCGGGTTTGATTCCCGGTCAAGGGCATGCACCTCAGTTGCAGGCTTAATCCCCGATCCTGGTTGGAGTGCATGCAGGAGGCAATCAGTCAATGTGAGGTCTCGGGTTTGATTCCTGGTCAAGGGCATGCACCTCAGTTTCAGGCTCAATCCCCAGCCCTGGTCGGAGTGCATGCAGGAGGCAGTCAGTCAATGTGATGTGTCTCTCTCACATCGATGTTTCTCTCTCTGTCTCTGCCCCTCCCTTCCACTCTCTAAAAATCAATGGAAAAATATCCTCAGGTGAGGATTTAAAACAAAACAAAACAGAAAGACACAATCAACAGTGGTGTATGATCTGAACGGAGAGAGGGAGCGGTCACAGAGAAGCGCACCTGTGTGGTTTGAGGGCACAAGTGGCATTTGTACATCCAAACCCATGAATCCGTCTTCCCTGAGGGGGCTCATTTTCAGGCCGTCGTCTTAAAGAAAATACAGAGCAGAAATCTCAGCCTGTCCTTCCTGAATGGTAAGCCTTTCCCCACTTTCTTTGCAGCCCCAAACCCCACACACATCCAAGTGGAGGAGGGAGTAGCCACCAGCTAATTGAAACGGCCTCAGTGATGCATCCATTTTCCCATTTAACACTCTTTTCTCTCACGCTCACTTTTCATTACTTGCCTGAGTTCACATGGCCCATTCCTTGTCTTTGTTAATAACTGTCCAAATTGTTACTATCAGTAATTTGGGGTGGGGGGGGAGGAGAAATACAAGTCAGGAAAATGAGTTTCCATGGCAACCACAGCCAGGTGAGATCATTTTGAGCATCCTTCCTATGACTATTTCATTAGTCCTCTCCTGAGAACCCGAGTCCCCATTAACCCCTTTATGGACCAAGTGTTCTTCAGCAGATATGGCTCTCCGGACACAGCAGGTGGTAAGTAAATGTTGGTCTTGTCCCAGACATGGGCTAGTGACTCCTTTGCCACACTCTGAGACCTTATTTACATCCAACATCTTCAGAGATAACAATTCAATAGAATGGAAATGAGTTCAAATGTGGTCCCTTAGCGGACAAAGGAAAAAGAATTCCTCTTTGAGCCTGGCTGGCGTGGCTCAGTGATTGAGCGTGGACCTATGAGCCAGGAGGTCAAGGTTCAATTTACTGTCAGGGCACATGCCCGGGTTGCGGGCTGGATCCCCAGTGTGGGGCGTGCAGGAGGCAGGTGATCCATGATGCTCTTTCATCATTGATGTTTCCATCTCTCTCTCCCTTTCCCTTCCTCTCTGAAATCAATAAAAATATATTTTTTAAAAAATTCATCTTTGAACGCTTGCCTTTGGGCAAATGTTTTACAGCATCGTAAGGGCGGCAAAACCTACCCCAGTGCAGGGTGTGCAGGAGGCAGCTGATTGATGTTTCTCTTTCATCATTGATGTTTCCATCTCTCTCTCCCTTTCCCTTCCTCTCTGAAATCAATAAAAATATATTTTTTAAAAAATTCATCTTTGAACGCTTGCCTTTGGGCAAATGTTTTACAGCATCATAAGGGCGGCAAAACCTAATGAGTATGAGGCTTTAAGACAGAAGGCTTGGTCTGCCTGTCGGCTCACCAGGAAGCAGGCTTATGGCTGCACAGCTGCCCGGCCCCCACCCTCTACATACGCACGCGCTGTTGGCCCCTGTGGAGGCGCAGAATGAAAACGGGACCCTGGAGACCCAGGCCATGCGTCCTGTCCAGCGGGGACTGCGGAGAAGGCCACGAAGCCCGCACTACCTGGGAGAGGGCCCCGTCGGGGAACCCGGCAGCTCCAACGCTAGGACGCAGGCCGCTCAGAAAAGCGAGAAAGGCCGGCGTTTTCATTTGCGACTCGAAAGCCTACCTCCCCTGGACATCAAGTACCGCCACGAAACATTTGCTTTTTAATAAACACGTCTTGAGTGGGTCAGGCCCGAATCATCGTCCCCGGATCACTTCCTGCGCCGCTCGGCTCACGCTAGCAGACGTAGGAAAGCATCAACCGCAAATATGTTGCTGATAGAAATTTCCTAACGCAAGCAGGCTTTATAGATTTCTGCTATTTCAGCGCAGGTCTCCGAGGACCATTTGAATCCATATTAATTTCCTCTCTGGCAGTTATGCGGCGGAGTATGAGCTGCACTATTTCACTTTTAATCTGTCAGTAATTTAGTAATGTGTAAACTAATTATGCACAGATATTAATGTAATCGGTGTGGGGAGCTATAAAATCGATGTGTTTTTACAGACTGCATTAAAGAGAATTGCAGTATTATAATCACATGTCAATTACAGATAACGTTATGGAATTAAAAAACGGATGTCACCCACATGTCAGGGAGCACCCCCTCGCGCCGTCAAACAGTCAGGGCGTGACCTCCACCCTGTCTGGTGCGGCAGGGAAGGTATTAATATCACAGCCGAATCGCCGTGCTTTGCTCCGACTCCGAGAACGCCATCGCTGTGGCCCTCCCCCTCCTCCTCTCCCCGTCCTCCAGGTTCAGTAAAAACTTACTATTCAGACTCTCAAGAGCGGTGCCTGCTTCTGGGGGTCATGCCTGTGTCCCGTGGCAATGGCCCCTGGGGCGACGTCTGCACTAGTGCAATGAACCAGGACACTGAGCCACAGAAGATGGTTGGCATGAGCCCTGGGTGAGGAGGAGTCAGCACAGCCTTTGCAGGATGTCCTCACTACGCCCGTGGCCCTACCTACCCTGTGGCCATTCCTCCAGGAAGCCCACGACGTGCTCAAAATCCTCCCGTGGGCCAGAGGCATCTCACCACTTGCACCCCTGGGTGTGGACACCCTGTTTCCACCCCGAATGGAAGGAAACTCCTCACTCTACCACAGGCCTGGGCATCTTGAGACACTGCTCGTCCAGTCACCTGTTTGAGGAAGTTCTAGCTATTTACCTGCAGACGCCTGGATTGAATGGCCGCTCCTCACTGCTGCGAGCTTGTCACTCATTTCCTGCCTCCCTCTGAGAACGGGGGGCCTTCTCTCCTGTAGCCCCGAGCATCAGCGGTGTCTCTGAGAGAACACGCCCCCTCCTTGACAACGCTGCCCGGGCCCAGGCCGGCCCTGAACCTGGGGGATGGCGCTGTAGTAA